TTTTTTTCGGAACTAACTTTTTTTTTTCACTTTGGTAGTTTTGGATTTTTGGATTTAACATTATGACGAATGCATAAACATGTATGTATATAGGTGATGTTAAGGGAAAACCAGACTTCGATCATATAAATTTTATATGATCGAAGTTTGGTTTTCCCTTGGCGTCACTCATATATGAGGTTATAATTTAGTCATTATGATGTAATTAATAGTATGACGGTGTTAGGTGGGATAATGTTGTATTATGTGTATATATATATTGTGTAATATATTTTTTTAAATAAATAAATTGTTAAATTTACTCTAAGTATAATAAGCGTCATATAGTGTAATTTTTTTGGTGATCTAATAATGTTTCACGTAAGTTCGTTAAGGAAGGCCGATGGGCTGGGTTACACAAACTTATCTGACCAGCCAGGATGAATCACGTAGTCACGTGATCGTGCGAAAATGACTCACATGACAGTTCTTTGTTTTTATTGGCTAATAAGCCAGAGATATATAAGCTATATCCCTGTAAAAAATGCATTCCAGAATATTTCCATTATATTTTTATGATTTTAACCTTGGCTCTGTGAAAGGTCCATGTATATTATAAAAGTGGTAATTAAATAATCGATTAATCAGTGTTTTCTCCATAATACATAACAAGTAATTTCTTCAATAATCAGTTGATCAGTGTTTTCTCTATAATATATAACTCGTAATTTCTTAAATAATCAGTTATTCAGTATTTTCTCCATAATATATAATCAGTAATTTTTATCTAAAAACTAATAACAATACTAATTAAAATGGAATACTAGTATAATAATATGGAATTAAAATGGAATATTAAAGTAATAATATGAAATTAAAATGGAATACTAGAGTTTTTATGCAAATATTTTTAATTACTTATCATTACACCTTATAAGCACATATTTGTAAATATATTTTCTCTAATAAATGTACTTGTAAAAAGCTTACTGTGGTTTTACATTGGCATAATAAAATAAATCGTTAACTATTGAAATTTAATCCGATTTTCTTGATCAATGATGTAAGACTCATTATTAGGCAATTTAAAAAAGCCAACACATCTACAAATTGCACTAATATTAATTACATCAAATGCACCAGGATCTTGAAACTTTTGTAGTCTATGTTCAGAAAGCTAGGGATTTCGTATCCACTGCACGTATGCTAGCATAAACCAGTGATCATTGTATTGATGTGAAAAAAAATACTGTACTTCGGCAAAGAATTCTTTTTCTTTCAAAATAACCGATGCATTTCGATGGTGAGCATTTCGATCAACTATAAGCTTTGCCTAAAAAAAAAAAGGCTAATTTAAGATATTTAGTAAATTTTTAAAAAATTATATTTAATATAGTAAATTACATACAGCAATGCAGAAATTTGTATGTGCTAAATCACCTTTGCGGTTCGATAACTTTGAATTAATAATTAATCCATTCTTTATTTGAAGTTTTCCATACTTCTGAATAGAACTCGTGACAAACTTTAAATGATAAATTAATAAATAAATAAAAAAATTCTATAAAATACTTTAAAAAAAAAAAAAATTTTATAAAATAAAAAGAGAGTAAACTAGATTTTACTAGAAGCTGGTTTACACGTATCCCTAATGCTGTTGCGTAATAAGCTTTGAGACGTTGTAATTCAGATTTATTCATGTAGTATTTGCGCGATAGAGAATATAGCTTTTCTTGAACATTATCAGTAGAGAAAATACGGTCTTCAGAATAAGATAGGATTTTTATACTTGAATTAAAAAGTTTCCGATTTATTTCAGCTTCATATTAAAGATGTGAAAAGCAAATCTATGTAGTAATCTGATTTTGAAGGTTTACATAAGGGTGTTGTCTAGAGCGCACTAATGGTGATAGAATTTCGCACAGCCTCTCTATTGGGTACTGCCAAGTCGCCCATGCAGGCCTGGTATTATATATTGAAGTGGCAATATGTAGCAAGTAATGATAAGAGATAAGTGCAGCTGAAAGTCTTTTTGGATCATTTTTGAGATATTCTCTATGCATAAAAAATTATTAACAATTATTATAAATCGTGCCAGTGGTAGAATTCAACACCATATAATTTATATTATAATTTTTTTGTTTAATTTAAGGTTAAGGACAAAAATTAGGATAAATTAGAAGCCATAAACTAAAAGCTAAAAATAAAATTGGTTTGGGATAAAAATATTTTTACTTAATACATTCACCTTGAGTTATTTAGACCATTTGAGAGAAGCAATTGTAGTGTTAAACACCACTGGTATGATCTAAGAATGCTGAATAGTGATATCAACAGGAAGAATATAAAACATACTTCTCGTAATGAGTTACAAATTCACAGAAGAGTTTGCCAATTTCCGTTAATTCCATCGTAGTGATACTTTTCTTGAGACAAAGCTTTGTTGCATATATGAACTTCGCCCATCTATTTAAGTATCTAAAGAATTTAAAATATTAAAAGTTTAATTTGAAAAAAAAATAATTATTTGTTTTCAAATTACCTTTCCGGGAGATAGCCTTGTAAAAGTGGTAATGAATATAATACCATCCAATTTAGCCAGTCTTCCACCTTGAATGCAGCCGAATGATGTTGGATATTAATAAGAGGACATCTGAAATTCAATGGCATATTTTTTCTATTATTTTCCATAATTTTTCCTATTTTTGTCCAACTATTCTTAGAAAGAATATAATCAGAATTAGAAGCTTGATTGTCTTTAAAAAAATTACCAGACCAATGCCGAAGCATTGCTGGTGCGATATTTTCAAATAAACTGTGCATAATGTCAATAGAAAATGATGTAGGAAACTCAATTGAATTGAGTTCAAATAATATACTTTGACCATTTAGACCTATTAAATAAAATAAATTAATTTTTATTTAAAAATGTATTAAATAATGACAATTTTTATTTGCACACAATGTATGAAACACGAGTACATATAATAATTCAAAATTTCACTTATTAAACCACTCTTTGGGTTCTTACAAAAAGGAATCTTTGTGAAATTTTAGATAAATTATACTCTAACCCTAATGCTAGTTCAGACTTATATTAATTTACTTTTTTTTTTAAATTTTGCGTCATATTAATCTACAAATTGTATCTGTGTTTTATCCAAATTAATAAATAAATTATGATATACCTCGTATTTGCACTTCGCACTTGTACAATTTTCCATCCATACGCTCTATAGCTATTGTATCGCGTACATAATCTTCATGCGTTCGTAACGGAAGATTTTTAGGATTATATCGACATCCAGTCATACCAGTTGGAGGTTTGAGTGGATAGTATACATGTCGATTTTGTTGGCAATATATTCTCTGAATAGAGCAAAAATGGCATGCTCTATATGAGTTATGTCCAGTCAAGCACATAATCTTAGAAAGTGCTGGAAGATCACCAGAAAAGCTTAGAATATGAGCACGAAGAATAAAAGTTTCCTCTGTTACGCCATCAACGCACTGAACACCATCTATATTTATTAACATAAATTAATAAATAATATATCATAAAAAAAGGATATTAATATTTGTCGTGGCTGAAGCAGAAAATATTAAATACTTTAATAGAAATTTTTTTGAAGTGCATTATTTTAGTTTTCTTTTTAGTTAGAATTTAGGTTAGTTTTGATAATAAAACTATATATGTAGATTTTGGAGGTTTATATTTTCAATCAAGCACTAATTTCAGCATCAGCCGTGATAATAATTATTAATAATACCTTGCAATTGTTTTAACTCATTAACCAGTGGCCATAAAAATGAATTAAAATCTTTTGGTGCCTTTGGTCCTGAAATAATGGTAGAAATCATCAAATTTTCTCACTGGACATGTATATCTGGTGGTAAGTTAGCGTTTATAATAAGTATAATCCAGCAATCGTCTCGCTTTTGGCGAAAAATTTGGTATCTGTCGGTAGATGCTATTAAAGCAACGTCTCTACATTCAGAAAAAAATCCAGAAGATGCTAATGATTTATATTGAAATCCATCGAATATATCTCCAATTCGGTTGCCAAAAGCGTAATCACGTGTTGATGTGTAATTGTAATGATAATTAAGAGTTTCTGCACGAGCCTTATTCTTATATTGCATTTTAAGTGATTCAATAAGTGACCAATATGCAGTTGTCTTACGGGGTACTTTGGACAGTTTATCAGATTTATAACGAGACTCTTTACATCTTGGACAAATATTTTTATTAGCGAGATTATCCGTAAATGCAATACATGTATTAATACAGCAATCTATAAGCGTCAGCTTTAATGGTACAAGATTTTCTAGATATTTTTCAAGTTTGTAAAGTGTAATATTAGGAATTTCTAAGACTTTAAGAATTTCGTTAAATGCAGCCTCTGACATATTATGTTTGTCTTTAATTTGAAAAAGTTTTAAACCCTTAATTAAATTTTCTGAAATATCTGCACAAATAAAACAAAATATTATAACAAAACTCTAATATTAGTAAAAATTCATATTTTGATTATAAGCTTACCCAACCCAATATTTTCTTCGTTTTCTTTTTCACTTTTCTCTTGAACTTCTAGTAATTCCATTAGTTCCTCTTAAGCTTCTAATAATTCGACTTGTTCCTCTTGAACTTTTCATAATTCCAGTAAATCGTCACTATTATCAGACAATTCTTCAGATATAATATTATTTACTTCATCTGAACTATCTGGGTTAATATTATTTATATTAGTTGGCTCGTTACTAATATGATCATAATCATCATTATCTTGAAATAGTGTTAAGCCGCTTGGTGAAGGCATAGACGACATTGTCGGTATATCATTAACTGGTAAGAAAGGTTGAATAGAAGTAGCTAAATGTCATTGTATTACAGGCATATCTTCTGTATTCGGCCAAGTTTTTTTTTGTTTTGCTAAATGCCTTGCACGAGTTGCTCTACTAACTGATTTGCCCTGATTTTTTGATATTCGCAGGAGACACAGGTACAGAGAACGTCTTTAACCATTTTAAAATTTGAATTATTTTCTTATACTGAAAGTAAAAATAATTCGTATAAATCGATGATTCGTATATTACTACTACTGATAATGTAATGATTAGTATATTACTACTACTGATAATTTAGTGATATGTATATTACTACTGATAAATTAGTAATTAAAAATACAGTAATACGTCATATAAATTCTCTCAAAATGTATTGTATAAATCGCTTGGCTTTTTTCTTGAATTTTTTTAAACACTCAAATTTAAAATATTACTTAAATACATAACTTTTCAAAAAAAATAATAATAAATTGAAAAACATTTAATTAATATCCACAAACTCAATTCTGAGCAACGTCGTCAAGTTTTTCTTGCACTAATTAATGAAGACCCAACTTTGCCTAATATACTGAATTCTGAACAACGTTGTTGACTATATGCTGTATTAGTCGCTATCAACCCTACTTTTGCAGAACCACTTTTAGATACACGTAGTGCTATTCATGGAATTATTAATGGACAGGTAGGTTTTTTTACCCTTATAAAAATTTACTTAAAATTGGTTGTTAATTTATATATAATCCGTAGTTTCCAAAGGATCTACAATGAATCCGATTAAACTTAAAGAATATGAAGATTATAAAGATACTCAAAGAAAAATTGAAAAGGAGTTACAGTGGCATGAATTCCTAAAATTAGACAAAAAACAATATCTAAACTTTAGGGTAAGTGCTTTATAGATTTTAATAAACATTAATATGATTTATCTAATTGTATTAATATACTGCAGAATAATCTACAAAATCGTGCGGCTTCTCGATTTTTGCATGACGAACCTCTATTCCGGCAACTAAAGGGAAAAGCTAATGAAGTTATTAAAGAAGTAAGAATTTATAATTTATTAATATTTTTAAGTAATAACAAAACTATTATCTACTATTTTCTATAGTTTAATAAAGCCAATCCAACATTTCTGGTTTCTGAGACTGAGTTCATTCTTCGTGACTGGCTTACCTCTTATTGTAATAGCATGGGTAAGTAATTTCATAGATTTTTCTTATTTACTTTTTATAAATTCTTATTATTTACATTCTAAAATTTTTTATACCTATAACAGTTGATCAAGAAAAAAAAAAGAAAGTGGCCGATGCAAGAGCAAAAGGGTATGCATTACTGCCGCCAAAAAAGAACGTCAAACCTCCTATATGAAAACGTAATACAAGCCATATCGATGAGCTGGATGAGATAAGTGATCATGCACAAGATTCCGATAATTCTATTTCTGGAATTAATACAACAAAAAAAGTTAATCAAACAAAAAAAAAAAAAATTTTAATTTAAAGACAAAAGGGCATATATTATCATTACTAAAAAAGATTGCTCAACCTTCTGTTCAGAAACATATGAACCGTATCAATATAGAAAGCATATCTGATCAAGATGATGCAAATGATATGACTGACTATACACAAGATTCTGATACATCAATCCTTGAACCAACAAACGATTATGATACTGAATTTACTTGTCAAGATAATATGGATGATTTTGAAACTTTAACCCCCGTTACTAATAAGTTGTTACTACAAAAAAAAAATGTTTGATCTCCTATGCAAGATATCACAAATAGTGAGAATGATAATAATGATGCACAAGATTCTGATATTTTAGCCTCCACAACTAATGTATTACCACCATTAAAAAGTTTGCGGTCTTCTCATACTATTAAAGAGAACAACATTAGTCAAAACACTTTAAACCCCATGGTATCATCGATAAAAAAAAGTCTTCGATCTTCTGTTCGAAAGTTAATTAATATTCTCAATGAAGACGATGCCATTGAGAACCATACACAAGATTTTTAAGATTTTAAAACTTTGAATAATACTGGTAAGATTACTGAAATAAATCTTAGCTGCATTTTGTACCCTTATTCTTTTTTACTTTATTTATATATTTATTTATATATTTATTTATATATGTAGATAAAAAGAGAAAAGAGAAACAGAAGACAAAAGAGACGAAAGCAAGAGCTAGCAAGAGAACAAGGACTAATCAAAATCGAAAAAAATAGTATAGACATTTGTCCTGCAAGAATTCTATTGTTGTTTTATTAGATTCATATGATAGTAATAAGTTTAAACAATTACTGCAGGTGCATTAATGTTATATACGTATCGGTTATGCATTAGTGTGTATCGGTTATGCATTAGTATATAAAGCTACTTAATAAAAGTTCTAGCTTGTATCCGTATATGTAATGTATTTTGCTTATAAGATTTCAATAAAGTTTCCGTAGAATTTCTATAATTTAATAAAAGTTTTGTTCTTATTATTATAAGTTTCAGTGAAGCTTTTGTATAATCTTCATTAATTATATAGTATAGTTCCATAAATATTCTGTAAATATGCTACATTTATGGAAAAAATATGGGAGCTAGTATTAGTAATTTAAATGGATAAAACATAGAATTCAAACACGGAAAAATAATAGAAAAAAAAAGCTTATCTTTTTTTACAGAGTATATCTCTGGCCAGAGATGCCTAGAAATTCCCAAAATTTAAATGTATTATTTATACTGTAGTATAAATATTAATATTAAATATTAATATTAATTAAAATTATTATAATTAGGTTTAAATAATAAGGAAAACAACTAAACAATAAGATTAGCTATGATAGCCATTAAAAATAATATACTCTGTATTGATTCAACATGCAAGAATTTGTGGCATTATGAGGATCTTTTAAATAAAAAAGGGTTTCAAAGAGTTCGTAAGTGTAAGCCTAATGAACCATAGAATCTATTTGTAATAATAGATAAACATTGGCCATCTAAACTTGGAGTAGAAGACATCGTACGTGGAACCATTCTTTGTTGGTTTTACATTATGCAATTATTTGAAGAAAATTTAAAAACATAGAAGATTTCATATTCGCTTAGGTTAGTCTTTAAACTTTACTATTTTAATCTTAGTTAAAGTTATCCAATAAGCTATAAAATTAATAGTATTGGTAATAGCTTGGATAACTTTAATTTGAGTTAAAATAGGATTTTTTTTAATATTTATATAATTTATATTTTAATTTTTTTTTAATAT